ATTTCTGAACTTATTTTTCTTTTTATAAAAAAAAATAAGATATACCAGGATGTTTAAGATGTTTAAGATTTAAGATTATAATCGTGTGTGTGTGTGTGTGTGTGTGTGTGTATGTGTGTGTTTGTGTGTGTTTCCCCTGGGAGCAATGATTCAGTATTCACTAATCCACTGTTTGCAGCAACTTTATAGAGCATAACTGTAATGACAGAACCATGAATAATGAGAACTGATTGTACTGGATTAACAATTTGTCTCAGACAGATCCTTATTTAAAAACATATATTTGGCCAGGTGTGGTGGCTCACACCTGTAATCCCAGCACTTTGGGAGGCCAAGGCAGGCAAATCACAAGGTTAAGAGTTCAAGATCAGCCTGGCCAATATGATGAAACCCTATCTCTACTAAAAGTACCAAAATTAGCTGGCCATGGTAGCAGGAGCCTATAGTCTCAGCTACTTGTGAGGCTGAGGCAGAAGAATTGCTTGAACCTGGGAGGTAGAGGTTGCAATGAGCCAGGATCACACACTGCACTCTAGCCTGGGCAACAGAGGAAGACTCCATCTCAAACAAAACAAAACAAAACAAAACAAACAAACAAAAAACACACGTTTTACCCAAGAGGGGAAACCTCTTAGTACCCATTTCTACACAGGTATAACTTAATGTAGTGATTAGAAGAGTATCAACTAAAAAAAGCAGGATTCCAAAGAAAAGAACCATGTAAAAGGTAAGGTCTTGATAAGAAATCAGATATCCAAATAAAATATGCTATTTTTATAGAGCAGAGGCCGGAAAGGCACCACCTTGAGAAGATGCTTGCTGTCCCAGAGGCACTTGGAGTCATTAGCACCTTGGAAAGACAGTTTTGGGAGAAAGAAAAGCAGTTCTGGCTCCAGACCACCCTCTTCTCCAGTCAGACCCTCTTTGGACCCCCTTTTCTTTACCTCTGGAGTCTTCTAGCTATGTTTGATAAACTTCAGACTCCATTTTCTGCCTTTTTTTTTCCCAGTCCTCAGCAACCTCTGTATGTTTTTCAGCATAAAAAGGAAAATTCTCAGATGCATTCACTGTTGAAATCCAGCAAGATGTACGCTGCCTCCTGGGGCCCAAACAAATTAACCCTCAGCACAAAGACACCCAAACGTACCCACCACAGTAAGCAGCATGTTGTCCAGGAGCAGAGCAACAAATACCACCACCAGGACCAGCTGCCGAGACTCTCTCCCCTCCTTCAGCAACCCCTGGGAAGCATCCAGAACAGTCCGGAGCATGACGAGGGCCGGGCTGGGGCAGTCTTCCCTGCAGGCTCTTAGGGAAGGTCCTGTGACAGCTACAGGTCTCCTGCAGCCTTTACAGAAGAGGGGAGGGAGTCTGCCCAAATGAATGAAACTCACTATTAAAACGAAAAGTGCAAAGGGTTGCAAGTAGTAGGATAATATTTGGAAACATCTCCATGTCTGGATCACTGTTCACTTCTTACACATCTCAATAACTCTACCTGGTTCCCAGATGCCTTCTAGGTGAGCATTGCTTACTAGCTATTTATGTCTGGATTCTGGATTTATATCGAGACATAAATTTCCTTGAAATCAATCTATAATTCATTAAATTCTCTTGAAATTAATGCCTTGATATAAATCCAGACATAAATAGTTGCTCTACAGATGACTTAACCCTGTGTTTTTCAAACATCTGATATTTACTTGCCTATCACCTTGATGGTTTATGTCATATCTGAGGACCACCTGTACTACCATTTACTTCATCTTTTCCTCTAAATACACTCTCTTAAAACGTTGAGATACTGCCAGGCATGGTGGCATGTGCTGGAGTCTCAGTAACTTGGGAGACTGAAGGGAGAGGATATCTTGAGCCCAGGAGTTTGAGTCCAGCCTGGACAACATTGCAAGACCCCATCTCTCAAAAAAATTTTAAAGCCAACATAAATACTGATATTGGATGTTTTAAAAAGTAATTTTATATGGCATGCAAAAAAAAATACAAAAAATTAGCTGGGCATGGTGGCGCATGCCTGTAATCCCAGCTACTCAGGAGGCTGAGGCAGGAGAATTGCCTGAACCCAGGAGGCGGAGGTTGCAGTGAGCATCGCGCCACTGCTCTCCAGCCTGGGTAGCAAGCGTGAAACTCTGTCTCAAAAAAAAAAAAAAAAAAAAAAAAGTATGGTCTATGTTCTAGGTGATATCCCAAAATATTTCACATGGCACAGTGTCACCTAGGCTGCCCATTGAGAAACACTGGCCTACAGCAACCTTCATCTCACAGATAAGAAACCTGAGCCTCTGGAGGTTAGGTTTGTTTGGGGTTGCACAATTAGAGTCAAACCGGAATAAAACCCCAAACTGTTCAATTTGCAGGCTTATCCTCTACCATTTCCCCTTGCTCTGTGGTTCTAGATGCACTCTCCTTCTTCTGTTTGAGCTATAAACCCCTGCTCAGAAAGATGCCTTAGTCTGTGAAAATAAAATACTGATTTTCTGATTAGTTTTCTATTTGGGATTTTATATCATTCGTCAGCATTAAGTCACAGTACCTTGTTGAACTTCAAGTAATAAGAGTTTCTAGGAAGAATTTCATTTTCTTTGACATGGTTTCTGTTGTGGTATAAACAATACCAGTCATTTAAATTTTAAAATAGATTACCATCATGAAATCTGTCAAGCCCTAAAAATCATATACTCTTTGACTTAGCAACTCTACTTCAAGGAACCTATCCCCCACCCCAAAAAAAACGTCAGAGGTACAGCCAAAGATTTATGCTCAAAACGATCAATTGCTGAATTATTTTTATTAGTGAAAAAAAGTCAAACATGTTAATGGTAGATTATTAAATAGCTCTTAAAAATTATATTTTCAAATAATTTTAATGATGTAGAAAATACTATTACTATAATGTTAAGTAAAAAAGGGAACTTAAACTGTTTTACAGCTTGACCTCAATTGTCTAAAAATAAATATATGGGCACATTTTTGAGAGAGTAGAAGGATACCCAAATGCCAGTTATTTATAATCAATGACTTTAGTTATCTTCTGTGTATTTCTAAATATTATATAATGAGCTACTTTTATAATTAAGGTAAATAATTTTAAATAATTATCAGTGGAGTTCAATAGTCAGCCTCAGTTTTTGGGAGTATTTCAAGCACTGAGCTACTCTGTTCTAAGCCCAGGGCTAGAAGAACCCGCTCCCTACTATGAATTAATGTGACCAAAGTCCTAACTGAACCAATTATCAGTTAAGTTTTAACCAGTAAATGCATGCAATTACTTAAGATCCTTCACTTCTCTGTATAAATTAGGTATTTCTGAATACAAATTGACTTAGGACATGTATGGATAAGAATAAAAGACAAACTATGGAAAAGTAAAAGATTTAGTGAATGAAGTCAGTACTACGATGACAGAAAACACACACACACACACACACACCCCAAAATCCCAGAACAAAAACAAACAAAACCAATAATTTGCCAACAAATCAATAGTAAACTGTACTTAGCAGTCAAAATCCTCTGAGAGAGACACAAATGACAAGGAAAGATTAAATCAGTCCGGAGAGAGAAAAATCTTACCTTAGAGCCCATCTCGGTGAGAGGCACTCAGGGAGGTACTGGCAGCTGTTAGCAAGACAGCAGGGATGCCGTTCTCTGAATGCGGATGTGCTGATGGATTTATTGCCTCCTGTTATCTGAGGATGCTGTGTACATGCGCGTGTGTGTTCCCTTTGTCCACAAAGATTTAATTGCAACCTCCAACAGGTTTTATTCAGACCCTTAGTTCCCTGCGTCAAAGGCAGGAAGGCAGAGCCGGAGAGGATAAAGAGAGGGGAGATAGCATCCTAAGCAAAGAGGCACTAGACTGCACTGTTTTGCATCTGTGCTTATCTATCATCAAACTCTTTAACTCTTACCTGGGTCTGAACACACAAACTAGAAGCCAAGATGAAACCAGAGTGCATTTCCCGTTCCTTGCTACTTAGTCAAAGAGGCTCCATATGCCCCAATTAGCTTCCTGGAAATAAACAATGCATGTTGTTCTCAAGCCATAAAAATCCAAGATCTATGGCCTCTGTAAAGGCTTAGACGGTGCACTGTGTCTTCACATCTCAGTACTGGCTCAATGCCTGATACATGGTGGCAGCCAATAAATATTTCTTGTATGGACGACTGGATAGTTGGCTACAGAAGAGAGTGCAGCTCATTGTAGGATCTTGAGAGGCTCTATTGATCTATATTATTCTGACATTAAATCATTGGTGGTTCAAAGAACATAAACAATTTATGAAACAGCAAATACAATTCATGAGCAAGAGCAGTGCAGAGGTTTCCTATTTGTGGAACTGGTGGGTCCTCCCAATTGTGGGAATTAACTAGAGGACTTTTGATTTAATGCTAAAAGAGGAAAGAGTTTTTTATTTTTCACTTTTTTTTTCTTTTTGAAACAGAGTCTTGCTCTGTCACCGAGGCTGAAGTGCAGTGGTATGATCTTGACTCACTGCAATCTCTGCCACCGGGATTCAAGCAACCCACCCATCTCAGCTTCCTGAGTAGCTGGGATTACAGATGCATACTACCATGCTCAGCTAATTTTTGTATTTTAGGTAGGGACAGGGTTTCACCATGTTGGCCAGGCTGGTCTCAAACTCCTGACCTTAAGTGATCCTCCCGCCTCAGCCTAGCGAAGTGCTGTGATTGCAGACGTGAGACACAACTCCTGGCCTAGATGGAAAGAGTTTTAAAATGCAAACCTAGAGAGAGAAATAGGGAGAGGAAACAAAGACATCAGCAGAGTGTATTAGTTCCTATAGGTTGCTGCTGTAACAAATTACTACAAACTGGTGGCTTAAAACAACATGTGTTTAGTATCTTGCAGTTCTGGAGGTCAGAAGTCCAAAATACCTCATACTGGGTTAAAAGGAAGGCATTGGCAGGGCTGCATTCCTTCTGGAGATTCTCGGGGAGGGTTGTTTCCTTGCCTTTTCCAGCTTCTAGAAACCTCCTGCATTTCTTGGCTCCTGGCCACTTCTACCTTCAAAGCTAGTTGCAATGCATGTTCAACTCTCCCTCTGACTCTGAGCCTTCTGCCTCCCTCTTTCACTTATAAGGATTCACGGGATGACATTGGGCCCACCCAGATATTTCAAGATCATCTCTGCATCTCAAGATCCTTAATCATATCTGCAAAATCCCTTTTACCATGTAAGGTAATATACTCACAGGTTCTATGATTAGGAGGTGGACATCTCTGGGGTGCCACTGCCCCACTCCCTGCAGGGGGCATGGCACACAGCCCCCCTTTACACGCAGGCACGCAGGCCCTGTGGCCTGAGCCTCATGGAAAGAGGGGGTTAGGGCCAAAAAATGAAGGTCTGTGTTAATAAAGATATTGGCAAGACTCTGGGAAAAAGGTAGCATCCCTTTTGAGGCCCAGGTGACAATTCTGCCACTATGCATGCCCTCCACCCTAAGTACTGGAACTCTGAGTGGTGACAGCCACCAGCAGAATACAGCTGTGCAACATACAAGGCGTTAGAGGCAGAGGGCTTGGGTAGAAAGGCCTCACAGGGAAGAAAAGCTGTTCCGAGATACCACCTAACTGGGGATGCCCCCCAAAAATTGGGAAATCATGATTTGGGGAAACTGAAGACCTGGGAAAACAGGTATAGACCAAGAATCATCATATGCTGGGCAATAATAACAGCAACAATAACAGTAGCTATCACTTATGGATTACCTACTATTTGGGCATGTTTCTAATACATACCCATATCAAATAGATATTTTTTTCAGTTCATATATTATATTCATAATACATAGTAGTTCAAATATATATATACATAGATATGTATATATTTATGTTTTATTTTTTCCAGTTTACTGTAACCATGCTGGTATTCATACGCTGGCCAAGTCTGGGGTTTACTTACAAATGCCCATCACTATTAATAATCAAAGTGTTGTCCATTAAAAATGAATGAGCTCTCATATTCCTCCCTTTAGTCACGTAATGTAAAAAAAAAATGAAGCTGCGAGTAGAGTGGAATGCAAATTCACACACACCATTAGTGTAGTTAGGCAAATATCATTCTTTTAGAAAACAATGTGGCTTTCTATCTTTTGCCTTTTAAGTTATAAAATGTATGTTGGTTTTGATCCAGTAATTTGACTTATTAGGAATTTATTTTAAAAGGTATGCTAAAATATGGGGGGAGGGAGGGAAATCATAGGTACAAAATTTTTATCATAGGATTTAGAGGAAAACTAGAAACATCTCATATGTCCAACTGTAGAAATTATTTAAGTCCATGAGCACAAAAGACTGTCATGTTGCCATTAAAACAGATTTTTTAAAAAGGTTATTATGAATACTATATATCAAGCTGGAAAAAATTATATATAAATACTAATTTATAGATTACATATATAATAACATGTACATACACAGTTATGGCAGAAGGTAAACAAGTAGAATATAAAACTCTATGTAAATTGGGGCCAGGTGCAGTGGCTCACATCTGTAATCCCAGCACTTTGGGAGGCTGAGGCAGGTGGATCCCTTGAGGTCAGGAGTTCAAGACCAGCCTGGCCAACATGGCAAAACCTTGTCTCTACTAAAAATTAAAAATATTAGCCAGGTGTGGTGCCATATGCCTGCTGTCCTGACTACTTGGGGGGCTGAGGCACAAGAATCACTTGAGCCCGGAAGGCAGAGATTACAGTAAGCTGAGATTGTGCCACTGTACTCCAGCCTGGGTGATAGAGTCAGACTCTGTCTTAAAAAACAAACAAAGAAGAAAACCCTTTATGTAAATTCAAAGTAGCATTATGCACAACAGCTAAAAGGTGAAAGCAACCCAGATGTTGCCCAACAGATAAATGAAATGTGATATACAACGTAACATTAGCTTTAAAAGAAGGGAAATTCTGACCCATGCTACAACATGGATGAATTTTGAGGACATTATGCTAAGTGAAATAAGCCAATCACCAAAGAACAAATACTACATAATTCCATTTATATGAGGTAACTACAAGAGTCAATTTCATAGAAATAGAAAATAGGATGGTGGTTTTCAGGGTCTGAGAGAAGAAGAAAATGGGAAGTGATTGTTTAATGTGTACAGATTTTCAAGATGAAAAGCTTCTGGAGATTGGTCAGTTGCACAATAAAGTGGCTATACTTAACACTACTGAATCATACACTTAAAAATGGTTAAAATGGTAAATTTTATGTCATGTGTATTTTGCCACAATTAAAAATATAAAAATAATACTTTATGTATATTGTGATCACGTAAGTGGTTAGGCCCAATGGCAAAATTACAGAAGATTTTTAACTTATTATTTAAATAATAATGAACAAAATTTAAAAACAAAACATTGCCAGTAAAAAGTAACAGCTCAGTCTACATGTAGGTATACTGGTGGACTCTGAGCCCTTGCAAAGAAATATTAATTTCTAGCCAGAGCATCCTGTTGAGACCTTTTCGAGACTGAAATGGAAGTTTGAGACTCTTTGATAGTGGTTCTGTTATCTTTCCAGTTAAAGTGGTTGGCATACAACATCCTCAGACAGACAGCTTTTTCTCCAGGCCAAATAATATCTATAACCCAATTACACGTACCCTGGGCTGCAGCTGACATGGCCTTCCAGAGGAGATGGTCCTGTGACTCAGAGCTGGAGGGTGATTTTGTTTCTCATTGCTTCCTGTTTCCCTTGCTGTTCAAATACTTAACAATCAGTTCCGACTTCTTACATTCAACATATGCCATCACCCCAGCCTTGAACTGGAGACTGACTTTGGTTCAGAAGTCATGGGCTTCTGAAAAGAAAGCCAAGAAGGAGTCAGGGATGAAACTATATGGCCATGATCTACAGGGCACTGTGGACCCTGTAGGAGGGGATATGTCTCCATAAAGATCGGGAATTGCTATGACTGTAAAGCAAGGGAAGTGCTGGTTTCAGATCCAAGGAAACAAGAGGCTCTAAAAAAGCAAAATCAACATCAGCTGGAATCCCACTGAGCATTTCTATTGTAGGAACAATGGTAGCAAACACAGCAATCAATAAGTGGACTACAGATAGGGAAATTCAAGCCCTACCCCTGACCCACCACTAAAACTGGCATCCCTTCACAACATCAAAAATATTTGGAAAAGAAAATACAATACAGGTTGGGTGTGGTGGCAGACGACTGTAATCCCAGCTCTTGTTACCCAGGCTGGAGTGCAATGGTGCAATCTCGGCTCACCACAACCTCCGCCTCCTGGGTTCAGGCAATTCTCCTGTCTCAGCCTCCTGAGTAGCTGGGATTACAGGCACGCGCCACCATGCCCAGCTAATGTTTTGTATTTTTAGTAGAGACGGGGTTTCACCATGTTGACCAGGATGGTCCTCGATCTCTTGACCTCGTGATCCACCCGCCTCAGCCTCCCAAAGTGCTGGGATTACAGGCTTGAGCCACCGCGCCCGGCGCAGGAGGATTTCTTGAGCCCAGGAAATCGAGGCTGCAGTGAGCCATGATCGCACCACTGCACAAGACCCATGTCTAAAAACAACAAAACAACAGAAATCCAACTAACCAACAAACAAAAAAACAAAAACCAATACAACCATAAAAAATAACACAAATAAAAAACCAACAAAGTACCATAACTACTTCCATAGCATTTACTTTGTATCAGGGATTATGAATAATCTAGAGATGCCTTAAGGTCTACAGGAGGATGTGCGAATACCACACTATTTTATATCAGAAATTTAAGCATTTATGGATTTTAGCTCCTAGAGAAGGTCCTGAAACCAATCCCCCACAGATACTGAGAGATGACTGTGTACCATTTCAAAAACCCTCCCTAACTATCCAATGTGGATCATCTCTGTGTGGATCATCTCTGCCTAGTTTGGCTCAAACCTTCTCTGCATGGGGAATGCAGCCACAGTTACATCTGCTGGCCAGAACTTCTACCTCCTTCCCTTTGTTTCACCTTGGAGCTGTGCAGGAGATGGTTAAGAAGCAGGCTGGTAGCTGGGGGCGGTGGCATCCCAGCACTTTGGGAGTCTGTGGCAGGTGCATCACTTGAGGTTGGGAGCTTGAGATCAGCCTGGCCAACATGGAGAAACCCCACCTCTATTAAAAATACTAAAGTAGCCGGGCATGCCAGCTACTTGGGAGGCTGAGGCAGGAGAATCACTTGAACCTGGGAGGTGGAGGTTGCAGTGAACTGAGATTGTGCCATTGCACTCCAGCCGGGGCAATAACAGTGAGACTTGATCTCAAAAAAAAAAAAAACCAAAAAACAAAAACAAAAACAAAAAAAAGCAGCTGACTGGCCAGATCCAGAAGCAGAGATATCATGCTCTGTGACATGTGGGAGATGTTGCCCTGGATTATGGTCATCTGTCTCTAGAGCCTCAACTACTTAATGGCAGGGGTTTTATCCTACTCATCTTGGTATTCCACCTAGCACCAGGCATCTAGCCCAGCCACGGTGATCAATAACTGCTGATTGTCATTGTTGGTAATGATGAGGAGTCATGCTCGCCTCTCTGAGCATCACATAAGACTGGTGAGGTCCTGGAAGCTTTGAAGGAGACATGCACCTCCTAGAGCCTTGGTGCTTCAGAACAGGAATGAGGAAATTCCACCTTTCACTTGGAACGCAGGCCAAACCCACCCATCCTTGATTGTGAGTGGAATTCCACAGGCAGAGCTGAGTAGCTTAAAACCCACCACAGATTCTTGAGATCTTAGCCTTGATCTCAATAGCTCCTTGTTAACTTTAATTTATATGCAAGACACAGAAAATCCAGCACCCCAAAAATCATGGTGGGTGAGCAGAGAGTCCGTGGAAATATCCATAATTTCAATGGAGCAGGAAATTAATGTCTGCTCCATTGAAATAACGGATGTTTATGTTAATGTCTCTTAGAGACAAATGCCATGTTTTCTACAAATACCTGTTAGAAACACTAGGACACAGAAAAGGAGCATCTGAATGATTAGTTTTAGTTCTGGGTCTGCCATTTACTTAGCTGTGAGACTCTGGACAAACTACCTGATTGCTCAGTACTTTCATTTGCTGATTTAGAGGGTTCTTGCAAAGATCCAAAAAATGAATGAACAATAAGCACTTAAAAGAGGGCCTGGCACACAGTAGGCACATAATATTTACCTTATGCACTTACTTATCACAGAAACAGTAAAACACTGACTCTGCTCTCACTCAACTCCTCTTTTTGTTGAGAGAATTTCCAAACACTAAGTTCCCTAAAATAAATTCCTCTTGTAAATGCAGCATTCATTGTGAACTGCTTCAGAACGCTTATGTCATACTAACTGTGAGAATGCATAAGCCTTGCTCAAGACTTACTTCCACCCAATACTGCTGCTCAAATCCAAATCCTTCCCAACTTATGTCTAACTGAAAAAGCCCACCTCTCCTCCCCAGGCACACCCCCCGCCAACCCCCATGAGAACCACCTGACCTAAGCCAACCCTCTTTGACCTTTCTCTTATCAAGTAGACAACTCAGCATCCTCTTCCATACTGTTTTGGATGGAAAGTCGTGTGTGTTAATCTTATCTCTACAATTCAGCCTTTCACTGCTCTGAAAGAGTGTATTATACAGCCACATTGCCTTTGCTTTAAAGATGTGACCTACCGAGAGCCAGCTTGGCCGTGGAAACGCCCATCCAGGCTGCGCTGAAGGAACAGAGAGGCAAACACCCAGATGGAACAGCAAAGTGGGTCTATGGCAGGGGCGGGCTAGGGGAGGCCAGCAGCCTTCTGAGCTGAGGGCCTCAGGGGCCGACAGCATTTCAGGCCGAAGGGCCCCGAGTAGACGCTGACCCACACATTTATTCTCTCTGAACAGGTGATCGTTATTAACAAACAGATGTTTGGTGTTTTCTCATAACACAAAATATGCCAAGTAGGCAGCTGGTGCCCACTTACCATTGATCACAAACTAAAAAGTATTCTCCACGAGGAAGCCACAGGGGCAGGGGCAAATATCTAAAAGAATTGTTTTAACCGGTGGATGATATTTATACATTGTCCTGCCACTTTGGAATGCCCCAAGTAGTTTTCTACTTAAAGGGTGGGGGACAGCTAGGTTTTTCTTGTCATATTTCTTCCTAGTAAACATTATATTCTACCATACACTAACCATTTCACAATGTTCATAAACTTAACATTTCTCAACAACTTAACATTTCTCAACAGCCACCCAAGCCCAGAGGCACAGAGTTAGTTAGGAATAAATCTGAGGCTGCTCCTCCAATCTCAGTCCAATGTACTTACCACTGAGAGCAGAAATACATCCTTCAGTCCTTCCGAGCATCTGCAGTTTTCAGCATTATGTGGAATTCATTAGCAGTGCTCACTCGGTATGTACTTGTTGATAGAAAACGTCATTCAAGTGCTTTGACTTCTCTGATAAACACATCATAAATAAGCCAAGAATTAAGGCCTTTCCTGGCTCAGATTCAGACTTTGAGACAGTGCTGCTACATTGCCATGACAACTGGTGGAAATGATCCAAATCTGAATATGTCCCTAGAATTTTTCCGGATGCTGTCCTATGTTATCAGTCCAGGTGGTCCCCAGAACATCTTTGATGCAGAAAAGAGGCTTCGGGCAGATGCCAGGTCAGAGTCCCGGCCTTAGATTTTTATTTCAGAAGATCAGACACCCACAACTGTCTTAGAATTAATTCGATCTCCTAAGCTTCCCTTAGATGGGGTTAGAATAAACCCTCTATAATTACTCTGCATCAGAAAGGATTTCCCAGACTTACCCAAATTTGTATACACACAACGGAGCCAGAACTAGGTGGCTTCAGAGGCAAGGGAGTTAAAAAGGAATGGACTATGGTCTAGAAAGCTTAGACTGCTGGTATCTCACTTCCAGAACTTAGGAAAATAACTTTACTTCCCTAAGATTCAGTTTCCTCATCTGTTAAGGAGGGGGTTTAGCTGAGTCCTAAGATCTATTCTAGATTTTACAATCATACTGGTCTCAGAGATAAAACAATGAGTGCTCATCTAAGGTTGACTCTATGCATCTGCTACTAACTCTTTTGACCTGATTTCTATCAGGACTCTGTAATATAGAACTTTTAACTTACCTGATTGCATCCTTATTTTACCACCAGCCATAAAACCTGTTCCCTGTTAAAATGAAAATGATACCCTTTTAAACAGAAGCACCTTACTATTTCTCATTGTGCTTTTGATTCAAAAGCATAAGGAATGTTCAAGCCAAAAATGTGATAAATTAAAAAAGAAAGCAAAACATTTCATAACTCAGAGTAATCACTGTTAATATCAGTATACATTTCTTTACAATATTTTCCAAGTATACGGGAACACAAATAGTTAAATTATACTGTGTATGCCACTTCATATAGAATGCTCTAATCAGTACTGTACTGTGAAAATTTTCCCATGCTTGACTGTTTTTTGTTCATCTTAATGTCTGAATAATTTTCCATCAAGTCAAAGTATCTGATGCTTTTTTGTTGGAACACTTGGGATGTAAAAAGGCTGTCGTGATCTGGCAACAAAAGAGGGTCTGTGACAAAGCACATTTGGAGTTTCAACGACACATGTCCCATTTCAGATGGCCAGGCAACAGGAAGCAGCCCTCAATAAAAGACCTTCCATTCATCAGCCTCTTCCTGGTTTTTATACTTAAACATTTGCATAGCTCTCTTAAGTAGCCATTGTTCTGATC